CGGGGGGCGGTGGTTGGGGGAGGGGCAATTACTGATGATGAGTGTGGTTATAAAGGGGGCGACAACTACGCCTATTTGGTGGTAGACGATAAGTCCAAAGACGCAGTCATTATCGACCCGGCCAATCCCCCCGAGTACGTTTTTACCCTTCCCTCCCTTTTTTATCATGAACAGCCACCAACAGAGGCAGAGTCCTCCCCGTCCTCGAAGAAGCTATCGCGAACAAAGAGATTAACCTCACTGCTATCGTCAATACCCACCAGTCAGTACATATCTCCCTGTTTACACTCCACCGGCATCTACTAACCCCCAGCATATAGCCACCGTGACCACGCCGGAGGCAACGAAGCCCTCCTCTCGAAGCTCCCCTCCAAACTCCCTATTATCGGCGGCCGGGACTGCGCCCACGTCACCAAGACCCCGGCCCATAACGAGACTTTTACCATTGGGGAGAACATCAAAGTCAAGGCCTTGCACACGCCGTGCCACACCCAGGATAGCATCTGTTACTTGATGGAGGACAAGGAGACGGGGGACAAGGTGATTTTCACGGGGGACACGCTCTTCATCGGGGGTTGCGGGAGGTTTTTTGAGGGGACGGGGGAGGAGATGCATGAGGCGTTGAATGTGGTTTTGGCGGGGGTGGGGGATGATGTTAGGGTTTATGTGAGTGCCTCTTCCTGGGTGGTGTTGGGGGTGGGTGCTAATGATGGGACAGCCCGGACATGAGTACACCAAGTCGAATGTTAAATTCGGGGTGTCGGTTCTCCAGAGCGAGGCTGTGAGGGCGCTGGAGGCGTTTGCGGATGATTGCAAGGAGACGCAGGGGAAGTTTACGATTGGGGATGAGAAGGTGTGTTTTCTCTTCCCAGACATGAATCAGGATGCTAACATGCCCAGCAACACAACGTCTTTATGAGACCGCAAGACCCCGCCATCCAAAAGGCAACTGGGGAGACGGACCCGATTGCTATCATGACGAAGCTCAGGGAGATGAAGAATAACTTCAAGTGAGTGGGCAAGAGTCGAGTCACGAGCAGGCAAGCAGGAGTTGATAGCTTGTAGGGAGCCTCAAACACATAAACTCTAGTTGCAATCAAAATTATTGATTTCTAGGCAAATAAATGTCTCCTTTGACCCCAATCACCCCGCCTTTCAAGAGACGAGACGCAGGAGCCCCAGGACATACGATTCCAACGGGAATGGCATGTTTTGTGTTTTAATATTGCTTCACTGTCCACACTTGATTCGTCCTGGGATATGTTGGAGACGACAAGCTCTAGCAAATTTTGAAGCGTTTTGTTGAGTAGAAATAAAAAAAAGAAAATGAGAGACCTACCGTTTTCTCGACGATCCTGTGATTGAATATCGGTATGAAGTAAACGACATGAGAGGATTCTAGAGAAGCCAGCATTGCGTTTGGAATTCTGCTGGCCGGGGAAGTCTGTTGATGTCCAGGAGAGAATTCTGCTTGCAAAGAAACTCGGATTTTATGGTTCGCTTTTTTTTTTTTTTTTTTTTTTTTTTTGTTGGTTTAGTGGATGCTTCACGTGACCAGGCGAGGAAACCGCGATTTTTGGCCCCACTTTGTTCGCTCCACTGTCGATTGTGGCTCTCCACTCTAAGCTATCGCTGCCAGCGAGCTCGAGTGATCGCGACAAGGCGCGAGTTTGTCGCAAGCGATTTCCGAGATTGTTACTGCCTTTCATATCGTTACAACAGGTGGGAAAGGGGGGAGTAAAAGTCAAAATGGTACGGATATCTCCTGTTCTTTGTTGGAAACGGTGCTGATGATGGTGTGTGAACAGCCACCCAAACAATCCCGCCTCGCAAAAGAGCACAACGTCACGCCTCAGGAAGAGGCAGAGATAAGAGAGGCGTTCAGCCTGTTTGCGGAGCCGATGGAGGGGGAGGGGAGGGAGCGGGTTATTCCTACTCATGATGTTAGGAGGGCGTTGATGTATGTTTCCTTTATCCATATCCCATCCCTTCTCGCTGACGTGCATAGTGCCCTCGGCCTCCCCCCGACCTCCCCCTCGGAACTAGCGGACCTTCTCTCTATCCTCGACCCAGACGAAGAGCTCGGCTACGCCACTTTTCCCAACTTCTTCGCCGTCTGCGCGCTCAAGATACACAACAAGTCGCACTCTTCAGAGGAACACATGGCCGAGGTGGACGAGGCGTTTGGGCTTTTTGCGAGCAACGGGTCGAATGCGATTACGTTGGCGAGTTTGAAAAAGGTGGCCAAGTTGTTGAAGATGGAGGAGGAGGTGAGCGAGGAGGTGTTGAGGGATATGATACTTGAGGCGAATGGGGGTGCGGGGGTGGGGAGGGCCCCCAGGAAGGAGGAGCTCGAGGGGCCTATGAGGAGGGCGGGCTTTTGGAGGTGATGATTGGGGGCGGGCTGGTTAGGGGAGATAAGGCGAAAAAAGGCTCAAGACAGAGATGGCCGAGAGAGAGGCTTGGGATTAGAGAGGCTCTGGAGGGCATGTTGATGAAAAGCGAGACCGACCACAAAGACGCAACTGCTCTTCAGGGAGCAAGCAAGGAAGGTCGAGCCAAGAAGATACGAGGAGGGGAGGGAGCAGCACCTTGGGGACATCTGTTGGCACTGAGCAAAACGAGAAACCTCAACAGCTCGAAGAATGCTGCTGATGAAAGCTGTGCCGAGGATTGGGATTGGGGAGGGTCACACGCCTAGCTTACACATAGCTACAAGCTGGTACCGGGGAGAGCCATATTGGCGAGATGAACCGGAAGATAACTTCAAATGCTTTATCTGTACATATTCACCTCTCAAACGAGGAAAATACCGACCCTTCACGGGATTTTTTTATTTCTTCACGTAATCGAAATCATGCCAAACGCCGCACTAGATGCACGAAACTAGACCAAACTAAACATCTTTGTCACCCATTCCATTCCTCAAGAAGAAGGCGGCACCTCCCTAATCTCGGGCGCCTCCCCAGCCACAGCCTGGACCCCCTGAGCAGCCTTCTCAGCAGCGGCCTTCTCCCTCGCCTTCTGGGAATCAATCACGGCCTGCAACTCGGGCGGCACTTTGAACCCGGCATGATCAGAGTGCTTCTTGTAAAAGTAGTTGTCCGGCTTGGGGGTGAGCTCAGGAGGGAGCTCCTCGAGCACGCACTCCAGCATGGCGTCGATGGACTTTTTCTTGGAGGAGTCTCTGTGCCAGATGGAGATGAGATGGGAGTTGAATCTGACCGAGAGGCCGACACCGCAGATTTGGTCACCTATATTTTGTTTCATCCACGTCAGCACATTTTGTATGGAATTGTTGGGAAGGAAAGGGGAGCTTACCCTCCTCAAGCACACTCTGCAACTTCTCCCCTACAGCCAACAACTGCACCCTCGTCCAAACATCCGGCCCGTTCCCCTTTGGCACTCTGAACGTCCACGACCCTCCCAGGATGTTTCTCCTGTCTTCCCAGATCGGCTTGAACCCCACCTTGAACAGGTAAATGGACTCTTTCATCCGGATCTGGTCGACGGGGGTGTTGTTTGCGTAGCGCCAAAAGTCCTGGACCGACTCGATGGTTGTGCCGAGTTGTTCCAGGTTGGAGTGGTACTCCTCCCCTGGGTTGGTGGAGGTGGGGGGGCGGTCGAACCAGACGTTCCAGTAGTGCTGGGTGGGGAGGGGACGCATGGCTTTGAGGAAGTTTCGTTTGGCGTCGTCGCGTTGCTCGGCGGGGGTGGTGACGGAGGGCGAGTTGGGGTCTGTGGTTGATTGGGAGAGGGAGGAGAGGCCTCGGGTGAAGAGGCCTAGGCCTGGGCGGGGGTTGGGGGGTTGGGACATTGTGATGGTTGAGATGGGGGAGTTGGTAGGTATGGTAAGGTGAGGTTGGAGGTCGAGTTGGGACTGGCACCGTGAGGCTCAGTGCTGGTCGAGCTGTAGACCGATACTGTGCGGCTCAGCAAGTGGACTCGTAAGAGGCGAAGCTGTCTCCTTCGGCGGGCAGCGTTGGGGATTGCTTGCTGCTGCGGGTGGTAGCGAGAAGGGAAAGCAGAAACGAAGAAAGAAGCAGGAGAAGGGTATGTAAATAAAGAAAGCTTCGACAGCTGGCCGGATCTTCCTGCGAGGCTGCGGCGAAAGGGGCAGAGGTCAAGGGGACCGGGTCTGTCGTTTCAAGAAAGATCACCACCCCGCCTGGTAAAAGCTTGGGGATTCAAGAGGCGGTAAGATGGGATGGCAGTTTTGCTTTCCCCGTCCAAGAAAGATCACCAAGATCAGATTCGGGAGCCGGGTCGCTGTTCAGGGGTAACGGTTGACGACCCCGATGGAACGTTGAGTCCTTGTCGGTCGGGGTGAAGGGTCGAAACGAGGGGTTGGGGCCGGCCAAGGAGAATCAAAGAGGTGTGTGCGACAATAGACCACCACCCACTCAGCTGAAGTGGTTGTGGCAGATGTGGGGATGCAGCTAGAGGTGCTTACCCGCTGCTGCCAGTTTCCAGTGGCGATAGCCGTTAACAAAGAGACGAGTGGTAGGCAAAGAACGGATATCACTGAGGCATCAAGACAAGAGAGTTCTGGAGACAGAAAACAATGGGCGATGTTCGGAATCGACCTTCAAAGGAAGCCATGTGGAAGACCGTCCCGAAGCACGAGGGTCCCTTGTTGAGCGGCTCGAAACATCCAAGTGGATCTGGAGATCAATGGGCAGACCAATCACGAGAGCCAGGCCAGCTTGATACGGGATATACGGGATATATCCTGTATGGGACCAAACGTCTTCGAACGTGTGATATGGCTTTGTCGATGGCTGAAGGTCTGGTCGACTGTTTCCATGCAAGAGTCGGGGAATTATTGATGGCTTCTTGGCTGGGCGGTAAGAAGGGAGGATCTCCCGAACCTCACCGAAAGACGGCCATGATGGTGTGGTTAGGTGGTCGTCGAGATGCCCGGGCCTTTGTGTGAGCGGATCTCGGCGTTTTAAGGCAAGCATCACGCTAAGTAGCTCTGAGCGCCGTTCATCTCATCGATGAGTGCCTACCGGACCTGTGGGTATCTCCAGTCATCATCAGACTAAACTTCTGCAGACAATCCAGGAGACAAAGTCATCAACTGAGTCACTGGTGATGATTATAGTCGAGAGAAGCGCAATGACGAAATCTGTCAGCGGTTCCCACAAGCTGAAACAACACGCTGTTTGTTTCAACAGGGGCGGGAACATCTGACAGTGGGGCTGGTTCTGGGCGGTTTTGGTGCCCGCTCCACCCGCTGTCCGCTGTTCCGCTGTCTTGGGCGCTTCGGAGGCTGAGCCGTTGCTGATCTTGCTGTAAGTGAGTAGTGAGTAGGCCAGTGACTGCTGCAACGGGCGGACTAAACAAGAAGCAGAATAAGAAGCCATCTGCGCGTCCACGTAAGAACAATGGTCTGCAGCCTGTGGACAACAGACGCATATAAAAAAAAGTGAGCAGAGACATGTGCGAATGGCGGGGCAGAGATGAGGCTGCTCGCATCGTAGCGGGGCAGCGGCATGGTGGTCTTGGCAGGCCCTCTGCGTCTCGCTGGGTCGGGTCGAATTCGACGGCCATTCATGGTCAGCAGCGAGGCCTGCTACGTGGTTGGCCATCTCATAACGTACTGCTTGTCTCTGTATATACCGAGAGACAAAGCAAAAAGATCTTGGGCTGATCTGGTGCGGGTCAGGCAGCCCGCAACCTGCATTTTCCGGGTTTTCGAGCTACCCAACGGCCTGGTATTCCGTGTCAGTTCCCACCAACACGGGGCATCGGTTGGGCCTCGATTCGACATCGAACAGAAAGGTGTTGCCATTCTGAGCAAACTTACACACCGGATCCCCCATGTGAATTCCATGGCATATGCGGGGCCTGTCCCATGGCAGGCCAAGGCAGGGCAGGGCAGGGTGTGTCATTGTCACTGTCATTTGACGTGTGGGGCATCACGACGGGAACTACACACTTACACGCTCACTCACTTCATGCAATGGAAGAGATCATCTGCCCATTCAATTCCTTTTCCGATATCAGAAGCAGTGTCAAAGTGGTTGGCGTTTTAGGGTTCAGCCGGTGTCCTTTTTTCTCCAAGCCTCTTTTCTTTCAAACAGTGGAAACTCTGGGCCGAACCGCTGTACTCAACGGGCCCTTCTCGTGCTAGTTCTGTCAACTGAAGGCCACTCTTTGTTTGTTGCTTTATTCAGACTGGTCATTGTCCAATTGTTCCCTCGGATGTCCAAGGCCATTGGTTGATCTCGCCCGCCTTGTGCTGATAGCTGGGTCGATGAGATCCATCCCAGACAGCCACGACAGCCATCACCTGCAGGACATTTTGCTCCCACAGTTCCCACTTGGACGACTTGCTCTCACTCCTCCACAATACTTCCCACTTGCTTCCACACAGCCATTCATGAGAGAAGCTCCAATCCCATCTCACTCCCACCCTGACAGCTGGCATCGGGTACCAATTGGCTGTTTTCATCGCAATCAGCCCCATCTGCTTTGGAACACCACTCAAGGGTCAGAACAACAGCAGACTTCAGAACATACAAGTCCCGACCAGGTATGAATCAGAAGCCTTTTCTCTGCTCTGTCGAGTTTCTTTTCTTCCCAACCATCTTTCGTTTTTGGAACCAAGCAAGACCATATCGAGCAACTTTTCGGATTCATCAGTCTTCCTTGGTTCACTCACGACCACCCACCCACCATCTCTTCCTTCGCTCACGATTTTCTTTTCGTTTCCTCGCGGCTTGCTTGAAATGGCGACCGCAGTATCTTCGCGTGCGGGCGAGTTACCTCGTGGGCCTGCCGGCGCTGCTGGACAACTTCCCCGTTCGCGTCGAGGCGAGCAGGTTCACCTGCGCGAGGGCGTCAATGTCGCCCTCAAATACTTCAACACAACCGATCGTGCCGAGATCAAGTTGTTGACTTCCAAGGCAAAGAACTGGGCGGATAGATATTATAAAGGCTACAACTACGCCTTCAAGAGACCAACTGCTCTTCTCAAGCAGTACCCCAACCTGTTCAACATGAACACCCAAGGTTCGTTACCACCCTCTCCCCCCAGCTTGTGGCCGAAACCTATTGACTAACTCGCAACCTTAGCACACGCCCGGCTGGAACAACAAACACCAGCCCAGACCGCCATGCCCGAGCCAGAGTCGGGAGATCCTCGCGAGTTTCGCCGTTGGGAGAGGCAGGCCATCCCCTCTGAGCCGTTCCCAGAATTCACCGAGCCCCTACTGGCTTCCGACGAGCTGATCAACGAAGCTCTTGAGATGCGCTCTTGTCGATCGTCTGGTGGTGATGCTGAAGCCAGCAAGCGAGTCGACGCCGCCATGCTTTGCCAATCCGGCCTTTTGGAGAAGCTTCCTGAGTTCCTGAGCCAGCTTGCTCGCGTCGATCTTGATCTCGAGACTAGACTTGCCAGCAACCCAGAGCCTGATCCAGTCGGTGACAATGTAGAGATCACCGAGAAGCCGACTTCGGAGCTGGAAGTCCCCACTGAGCTCACAGAGACACAAGCCCGCCGTCATGGTCGGCGTGTTATTTTGCCCGGTGGTCGCCCGTTCAAGCTTCCCGGAGAAGAGATCGAAGACGGCCGCAGTGCCGGCAAGGCTGGCGGTGCTGAGAGCAGCACTGTTGTTTCCGACTCCCAGGACTTCTACGGCAGCGGTGACGAGACGGATGCCTCGACCTCCACCACGGCGAGCCTCCGTGTTAAGCGTAAGCGCAGAATGGACACCGTCTCGGACGAGAATTTCCAGCCCAACAAGATCCGCATTCAATACACCGCGCCGCCCACCAACCTCGCTCGCCAGTACAAGGAGATGTTGGCGGAGCATGCTCGCCAGAATCCCGATGGCTCTTCTAGCGACGCCCTAGCGGACCTTGAGTTTAAGATGCCAACTCTGGAGCGGTCGCCGAGTGTGGCGAGTTTGACAAGCATCCGGGTCATCAAGATCAAGATTCCCGAGGGTTGGTCGACCCCGGAGAGCTCCCGGTCAGGGACTCCCACTGAACCTTCGCCGCCAAAGGTCATTGTTCTCGTGAACCCTCGCTCGCGTTCACCATCTCCTCCGGCTGTCGCTTCTGCGACGCCTTCCCGAATCACCAAGATCAAGGTGATCAACTCGCGCACCCCCTCTCCTGTTGACAGTCTTGGACGCACTGCCACGCCCAGCAATATTACCAAGATCAAGGTTGTCAACTCACGTGGCAACCCTCCAACTGGCTCTGTCAAACGTTCGGCCTCACCCACCAAGATCACCAAAATTAAGGTGACCAATTTTCGCCCGACCACCCCTGTCGACTCTGCCAGTCGCTCAACGACACCAAACCGGGTGCCGCGTATCAAGGTCATCAACCGGAAGCTCTCCCCCGAAGCCCTAGAGAAGACCTTCGAGGTAGCGCAGGAGAGGTCGGTCAGTCCCGAGAGCAGCGGCGTGCCTTCGCCCTCGGGAAGCACTTCCAGCAGCAACCTCGAGATTGCTCGCTCGTCCTCGTCTTGCTCCAACACTTCGCTCGACTCGACCTGGTCTGCCACTTCGAAGAAGACCACGCGAATCAAGTGGGCCAACAAGAGGAGTTCCCCTGCTCCCTACCAGAGTGCTCCCGACCTGCCGGCTTCGTCAAGCTCGGAGAGGTCTGCTAGGCCTATGACCTTCAAGATCGCCAAGCGGCCCCGCGTCAAGAGCGTTGGGGAGGCTGATGTGCGAGCGAGCAAGCTGCGGTCAAGTAGGGTGTTTCTGGTTGATGAGCTCGACATGGCCCTTCATGACCTCTAAAGACCATGTTTAAACACGACATCGCCGGTGTGTACAATAAAGCACCACGCTGTACAAAACCCATACATTACATCAGGCATACAAGCGTTTATATTTGTCAGTTGAAACGTACAGCCGGCATCACATGCACAGATGGATCTCTTTTCTTTACTACAAGACATCACCGATCCGTTCAACAAGAAACGTCGTCATTGAGCGGACTACTACAACCATTGAGATCAACACTATCTCCCCGGCATTCTCTTCTTGGTTTTCTTTTTTTTCTTCTTTTTTCTTTTTTTTTCTTTTTTTCATTTCTTTTTTTTTTTCAAAAAAAAAAAAAAAAACACAGCACAACAACGACCCAACATGAACGATACTCGAATACAGCAATAGCAACATATATGGCGTTATGGGATGACATTTCACGATTCAAAGATACCCCTTTTCGTTTGGCGTTGGACTGGGCGTTTCTTTCTGATTAAACTCTGGAAGAGTCTTTCGTTTTCCCTTGATACACAGGTCGGGAATAGAAAGATAGACACGCGAGGAGACAGCGATATAAAGGTGCATTTATGGAAGGCGTTTTTGGTTGGGAATGGTGTCTAGATATGGGAGATATGTTATTCGGTGCGCAACATTGCGACGGATGTGGGAGGATGAACTGGCTTTGGGGTGACACCCATGCGATAGTTTCTGCACTATTGACTCGTTGCTGATGAATTGGGAATTAATGACGGGATTGGGAAATAAATTCGGTTTTTCTTTTTGGGAAGAGGTTTTGTGTTTTATATCTTTCTTTTGTAGTATAGTTATGGGTAGATTTTTCCCCCCGAGGCAGCACTACTCTTCGTTTTCGGCCTGCTCGTAGAGAATCTTGAGACAGAAAATATCATAAGATTAAAGACAACATTCTCACCTTTAACGTCCACCAAGCCTCGAGCTTTCAGTCCGTTGGCCTTCCGCCCCCCCATATGTATGCTGTCCGGAGGCTGGCTCCTCCTCATCCACTGACCATAGATGGACCGGGGAAACCAACGCACGAAGATGACCCAACATTGTGGAAAGTGGCATGAGATCCAGCAACCAGAAGGAAGCACCTCGGCCACCTCAACACCTCCACAAACCCATCAGCCTAGGAACGGGCGCCCTCTTTCCACCAGCCGTGAACCATACTTCACAAAGTCCCCCCAATCGAGGAGGAATCTTCAGAACAAGAGAACCGCAAAGAGCCAAAACAACGAAGGAACCACCACCAAGATTCACGCTCGGTCGAAGTCCAGGACAAAACAGCAAACACCAAACCCCAGGCGGCCGAATATACTTGCCCCAAGGATGTTTGAAGCGAGATGGAAGGAAACCAGTGACATAACTGGAAATACCCAGCTTATGCCGACATATGAAGAGGCCACACGCGATCCAGATAAAAAGCGCAAAAACATACAACACCGAGGATTCCCCAGCGGTCACCCACCTGAGTACTGGCTCAGCCCCTCAGCTGTTTGACTCGGGCAGATCGGACGGGATGCCGTAATTCCAGCTGGGTATGGTCGTATGTGGCAGACAGGTCCCGATTTTATGCCTATGAGTTCGATGGCGATATATAGGGAAAACCGATCCGGTTCTTGATTTTGTCTAGTCAGTCAAGAAGCTTTGGTTTGTTCATCTATTGCTAATGATCCAACTCATGGTTCGCGACAAGCCAGTGGCACCAAGAGCGAGCTCAGAAGTGGCAGAAAAACCCCAGACTTGTGGCAATTCCCCCAGACGTTCAACGCTGCTGCAGGAACCCTATCCCGTCTTTTATATCATCTTTTTCCCCTCTTCCTTTACCACTCGATGACGCCGAGCGAGCGTTACGGAGCATCTTGACCTCCTTCCTGGAGATCGCTCCATGACACGGATCAGCCGGCTAATGCTTCACACCACAATTTACGCAAGATCGAGCCCTTATTAATTTCGCACAACTCCGCCAACCTCTCATTCACAGCTATCGGTGTCGATCAATCGGATTTTCACCACAGCCCAGAGGAGCAGCACTCTCCCGTCGTCATTAGATGCTTCTAAAGTCCAACAGGCCGTTGAGGCATATCGAGACCACGCCTATCCGACTCTGATTGCGCAGACTTCGTTGTCAATGAACTGAAGTGCTATCAAGCGTGTGAAATATAATCAACAAAGCCCTAATCCAGAGCAGCCAAAGCGTGGGCCTGACACAAGGTGGGACCAAGCGGCCCTGGAGCAACCGCACATGATGTAGCTTAACTTACGTCTGTTTATTAGTTGTTTTGTGGCGAGGGTGCCAGGCCGTTCGACTAAAGAGCAACAACCCTACGCGAGCATAAGATTCTTGCTCCGAGTCTCAAAGTGACATTAATACCAGCAGTGCCGACTTCGTTGAGGTTTGATAGGTGTATTCATGCACTACTCCACTCTATCAGAGGATCTGACCTCATGCCCCCATCTAACAACCTCTGGAAAGGAAGAAGAAAGTCGTAAACGCTACAGGTCCTAGGTATCGAAACGAAACGAAAAGAAAACACCAGGTTACCCCCTCCCTCCCAGAACACCCTCCCGAACAAAACCATACCCGTGATACCATTGCAGCATGAACACCATTAAACCCCCCACCACAAAGAACCCCAAACTGATAAAGACGAAGCCTACCGCCCAGTGATATATCTGTACGCATATCCCCAGCCAAAGCCGACCAGGGTAACCAGCAAGACCAAGCTCCAAAACGTAAACGGATTCTTGATCCCCTCTACTCTCGCATCCCTAACCTTTGTGACTGACCCGCGCTCCTGTCGTCTAATCCTAGCAAGCGGACACTGTCCCTTAGGTGACGTCCACATATCCTGTTGTACCGCCTCCGCCTTCGCCGTCACACTCTTCGCCCCGTTTCTCCGCTGCTGTATAAGCGCAATCTCCTCCCCAAATCTCACCACCTTGACCGCCTCACCCCCTTCCACCGCCGTCGCCTTCCCCTTGCTCACACTCGTCTTCTCCACCAATTCCGTCACGGACGTAATAGTCCCATGAGCATGCAGCCCACTGGTACTCGTCTCAGCCGTAGCAGGCGAAGAACTCGTGTTCAACCCCTCCAAGTTCCCCTCACTCTTCCTCCTGTGTGTGTGCGAACGCGACCTCCCCTCCTCAACCAGCGTGCTCCGCTCCCCGCCCGAAAACGTCGCCTTCCTCAGCGCCCTCATCCCCCTCTCCTTCGCTACAGCAACACTATCCCTCAACCTCCCCCCCGCCACCATCGCAGCCCTAGGCACAAGCATACTAGCCCAAGTATCCACCGCCCCATTCTCTTCTTCCACTTTATCATCATCCCCAGGGTGCATATCAAACAGCCCATCCAGCTGCCCCACAATCCCATTCATCAGGTCAAAAATACAAACCCCCTCCCTAACCACATGCTCCCTCTCCCCCGCAGTCAGCAACCCCTCCAGCTCGACAAGTCGGCTCTTAAACTTAGTCTTGATCTCCTCCCCATCAAGCGGAGTGGCAAACCTAAAAAAGTTGAGCGGCAACCCATCGTCCTTGATCCTCGCCAACCCATCATCATCACCACCACCACCACCACCACCATCACCCTCTTCCTCCTCAGAAGCGAGCAGCTCCCGTATGCTAATCGGATCCTTGCACATCTTGCCCAACACCGCATCAGACTTCCTCATCCAGAAACCCTCCCCCGCAGCCTCAAGACAAGAACCCAAAAACCTCCCTCCGCTAAAAAGCGCCATGTAGAGCACCCAAGCATAGGCGATCACCACCTCGGGCTGTCTGGCTATGTTGGCGTGGATGTGGCGGACAAATTCTCCCAGTCTCCCCGTGTTTTTGACTTGTTCCAGCATCTCCTCCACTTCTGTCTCATCCCACCCCGACATGGCTCTGATATCCCTCTTTAGACTCCCGCTCCGTGCCATCCCCGAAATCTTCAAGTGATGCAATACTGCATGAACCCTCTCGCACTTTTCATCTCCGATCGGGTCTGCCGTGGTGCCAAACGGGAAAGGGGGAAGGGTTTGGTTTTCCGGGAGGACGAGGAGGGAGCTAGAAGGGTGGTCAAGGACGGCGTCGCGGGAAGCGAGGATCTTGTCCCATGCTGACTCGAAGGCGATGTAAATTGGGGCCATGTGGAGGAGGCCGGTGAGGTAAGCTGTTGGGTTGTATGCCACGGGCGGGACAGAAAGGGGCAGGCGGAGGAGGATGGACTTGTTGAGTTTGGTGTGCTGGGTTCGGGTGGCGGCGTTGATGCTGTTGCCTAGGTGGGGGAGGGGAGAGGTGCTGGTGATGGGGGATGTGTCTGGTGCCATGTTGACGGTTATTCAGAGGTGTAAGTTGAGAGATGTTGAAGCGGTGATGCGAACGCCCGAGGCCGTTGGAAAAGATGTCTCTGATGTTGAAGGCGAGACAGGGGCTAGGTAGGTCTTAGGCAAAGATGATGCTAACGATTGAAGGTTAATATACCACGTAGGTATGCTCCAAGTGGCGGCGTCGCTGTCGTAGGTAAGGTAGGTAAGAGCCTTTGACCGTTTGAAGCCCTTGACCAAACTGTTGGATTCCGCCGGTTGTGTCGAGGAATGATAATACCGCCAAATACCGGCCGAAACAAAAAAGAGAGAGCAATATCCGTACTTTGCAAAACTGTAGAATGTTAACGGCCGCAAGAAACAAGAGAAGGCAGGTAGTCTTACAGATAAGAAAGAAGGCTGTCCGTCTGACCCCTGCAAGCCGGTGACCTCCCTCCGCCCAGACGTGGTGGTTGTTGACAAAATGAGGAAAGAAGCAAGCAAGCCTGATCACACACTCACACACAGAAGCAACGCCCGGATGACCGCCTCACCAACAACAGACACACACACACACACACACACACACACAAACACACACAAGCAACAACTCGAGGCTGCCTTGCACGGAGGAAGTATGCGGGGAGAAAAAGAAGGATGTGGAAGGTGGAAAATGAAAACTCTATCAACAGACAGACAGACAGACAGACAGACAAGGATGAAAACACCACATAAGCTGCTGCAATGTCACTCCCAACACTCACCTCTCGATCGTCGAGACAATAACCCACCAGGGTCTCCCTGATTATGCCATGCATGGAAGCAGGTGGCAACCATGACGCCTTGCCTCGTCCCAAGCCTCTAACCGCAACCCCGCATCCAATATTGACCGGCGTGAACCTGGCAGGTGATTGTTGATTTTCCCTCGGGGACACCGCCATCGAGTTATTGTTTTCTTTTTTTCCCCCCTTCCGCAATAGGAACCCTCGACATCAAATGCAAGTCTTCAATTTGCTGAGGAGAAAATGCACAAGTCCCGCTGAGTGGCCCCAATCGGATCACGGACTTGAGACATTCCCACTGCCGGTAAGCGATCCGTGCACCATGCAAATACCCGCTGATCGGTCGGTTCCAGACCGTTGGGCGCGCCGTTGGGGAACGAACTGAAGCCTCATCTACTTGCACCATCCCGGAACTGTTTACTGTTGGTGGTTGTGAATTATACACATCATTGTCCACCACTTCTTCGTTCGCCCTATGTGATGCAAAACGCCCTGGTGATGCTCGAACAAAATACACGATTGATGATAGCCCCCAAAATATGTAACACATATCCCTACATCAAACACCCTATACTCCCGTCCGCTCCTGTTCCTTATCCCCCTCCCCTCCCTCCTGGCTCTCGTGCGTAACAAACACAAACGACAGCACCACAATCCCCGCCCCGACCCAATACAACCAACTCGAGTACTGCGAGTACTGAATCATCTCCCCGACAAGTGACACGGGGATGTTCAACGACAACCCCACCGTCACAATCAACGGCGTCGTCAACAACATGGCATACGCCCAGATAATATCACTAAAAAAGCTCGCCACCGAATTCAGCATAATAATCGCCCACACCGTCCCCGTAGGCGGCCACTCAAACTGTTTGTTTCACATGGTCAGCATCCCCTCCCTCACCAACCACAACTTCACCAAACAGAATAGAAGAAGAAGAAGTACTCACCGGCTCCAACCCGGTGAAATGCAGTATCAAAAACCCCGGCCACAAAAAAACAACATTAAACAAGCCCACCAAGCCAAAAAACAAGCCCATATTCACCCTCTCCTCATTCCCCACCCTCAGCTTCATAACCGTGACATAAATCCCATACACCACCGCACTGAACAGCGCCATCGAATCCCCCACCGCAATCTCCCACGTTGACTTGTGCGGAAAACTCCCCCTGCCATCATCATTCGCCCCCGACAAATCCACCGAACTGATCAAGATCACCCCCACCAAGCTCGCCAACACCCCAACCAGCTTCCGGACCGTGAAACCCTCCACCCCCTTAAGAGCTCCCAAGATCAAAGTCCATATACTGCTCGTCGACGTGAGAATAGTGACACTCCCGACAGACGTGTACTCCAGACACGCCGAGGCGAAATAATTCGCAAAAAACCAAAGCATGCAGAACTCCAGGCTCAACCAGGCCGTCTCCGCGAGGGACAGTTTTTCCTCTCTTGGGGGGAGGTCGTTCGCTTCCAAGCTCCCCTCGTCTTCCACCACCAGCAGCCGTTCCTCGTCTTCTTCATCTCGGTCGTTTCTCAACAGCGGCGCTGACCGCCCCTTCCATAACTCTCTTGCTTGACTAAGCGTCGTGCGCCAACCGTTTTGTATGATGTACTTCCCCGTCATGGGAGCAAGACTGATCGCAAACATCGAAGTATTGACGTAAACCAAAAAAAAAGGCTTCGAGTATGTCCCGTCCGAGAAGATGTACGACGCGAGAAAGTTGGAGACTGTCCAGAAAAAGACGACCACCAGCAGGAGACATATCCCTAGTGTTTTCCTCGCTACCCCGCCGAGGAGTCTTGATTTTTGTGGTTGTTCAGTGTGTGGTGATAATCGGCCTGCCGAGGCAGGGGAGTGGTCGGCCGACATTCCACCTAGCATTACCCTCGCTCCGTAGTGTTGCGACCTGCGCCTGTCCGAGGAGGAGGATCGGGGGGAGATATCATCTTCTTCGTCGTCTGTAGTATTGTGTTTGTTGGATCTGCCGAAATCACCGGATGGTCGGTGGTGGGTGTGGTGATGGTGATCTGGCGGCGCCAGCGCTGCTGGGAGGAGTGGTTCTGGGGGTGCCATTGTTTTCTGTATTCGCGTTCTTCGCTTTGTGCAAGATGGACTGGTTCCAAACTTATCGCCTCAGCTTCAAAAGAGCCTTGTTGTTGTTGTTGTTGTTGTTGTTGTTGTTGTTGTTGTTGTTGTTGCTGTTGTTGGAGTCCGAGGTAGTAGTCGCAAAAAGACCCTGTCCCCGTTTTCGCGACAAATGCTCGATCAAAACCATGGGAAAGCCTGGTGGATTTGTTCGTTGGGCCGAATTATCGTGGATCTCGAGGTCGTTCGGTTGTGGACACTCGACACTTGTTGTTCGGCGGAGTTGGTGCGGACTGTGGAAAGGTCGGCCCCTGAAAAAGTAACCGGGTTGTGTGGAGTTTGGATCTTGTCGATTTCGCTGATCACTGGAGCTCGACCGTTTGTTCGTTCGTTCCAGGTTGGCGCCAAGCCCACCGGGCGCCATAACGGTGGCTCAGCCAGCAGGGTTGGGGTTATGCCGCGATATGCGGTGAAACATGTATAAATCACAGTAAGATCTTGTAACCCAGCACCGAGGTATCTTGTTGAGCTTCGCCATAGATATATATATATATATATATGCCTTTCCACCTTGATACCAATGCAGGTCTATCGAGGCCTTCTCAAAAGCAGATAAAAAAGCGCCAAGCCCTGGTTATGAATTAGAAACAACTCGCCAGATACTCCCAGCATGATATCATACAAAGCCAAAAACCCAAAACTGGAAAGAGCAAACTGGATCATCCTCACTACATCTCATGCCATCATGTATCCTGCCTAGCACGCGCACCCGTCCCGGTCGTTCTCAATATGGATGTTGATGGGGTCCTGGAAATCGCCGCTGAACTCTTCCGACTCTTCCTGGAGGAGCGCATTCCTCGCGATAACTGGGCAGGTCAGGTCAGCATGTGGTCAGATTAGACAAGAGATAGGCTCAACTCACCCTCAAAAGCCTGCTCAACGTTGATGGCCTCCTTGGCAGAGGTCTCAAAGTATGGGATACCACCCTTGGACTGGCAAAAGGTCATGGCCCGCTTCGTCGAGATCTTTCATCTGTCAGCACCTATCCTGAAACCCCCCTTCACAAGTCAACATACCACTCTCTTGCTCTCCTCCACATCGATCTTGTTGCCCAACACCACAAACGGGAAGTTATCCGGGTCTCGTGGCGAGGCTTGGATCAAAAACTCGTCCCTCCAGCTGTCGAGCGCATCAAAGCTTTTGGAGTTGTTGACATCGTACACCAGCACACAGCAGTCGGCTCCTCTGTAAAAGGCCACACCCAGCGACTGGAACCGTTCTTGCCCGGCCGTGTCCCACAGCTGCATGGTCACTTGGCGGTCGTCCACCAACACCTCTCGTGTCAGGAAATCGGCTCCGATAGTGGCCTTGTAGCTTGCGCTGAACTTCTTGTTGACCTGTCGATTGCGTGAGGAGTCAGCATGGGGCGGCGCACGTGAGTGTGGGCAAGTGTCATACATATTGGTTCATCAAACTCGTCTTGCCAACACCGCTGTCGCCCAGGATGATGACCTTGAGGAGGACCTTCTTTCTGGAAGCCATGGCGGGAAATCGTTCCGTTTGGAGGCTCAGTGACGCGGGGAAGGCGGGTGGAAGAGTTGATGCGCAGGTGACCGACGTTGGTTTCTGGTCTGGGAAGTTTTGCGGTGGGCGAGGTCCCAAAAAATAGGTTGAGGTCTACGCTCAGTAGCACACGGGCAGTGGTTCGAGGTTTCCAGGTTTGCGGCTCCGATAAAATGAACGGGGCTGATGGGTTGGTAGGGAATCGGCTGTTGGAGGAGTGACGAAGGCTGGAGCCAGCAGCGATAGAGAGCTATCAAGAGCGGGCGGGCAGGCACCAGATGCTGAGGGCTGGGCCAATCACAGCCCTGCAGCCTCAGTTGGCCCACCTATGAGACCAGTGCCTTTTGGGCTTTCCCCACCCCACTCTTGAAACCTTGTGACAGCATCTGCCTTCCAAGTTCCAACGCCTGTTTCCACCAGTTGATCACTGTGCGCCCGCGACATTTGGGAAAGAGAAAGAAATGGCAGGGCGCCAGGCCAGCCACGGGTCGGTTTACTCTTCTTGCATGCGCCCACGATGAAGACCATCATAACCTGTCGAAACACACAAACAGCACGAGCCACCGGCAGCGAACGAAGCACCGACAACCACTCGGCCAAGCTGGATCCCTGGCCTGGCTTGGTGGTGCATCTGCCTGCCCCCGTCACGACGTCGCATCCTGGCGCTCGACATGCAACCTATCAAGGTACACATCCGTGCTCTAGCAAACATCACCACCACCACCCACCAAGCCAATGGCCGATGAACAACTCCTCGACAAGATCCGGTCTCTCAGCGACCTCGAACTAGCCACTCTCTTGTGTCTTGTCGCCCGCGAACACTGCCTAATAGGCACTCTCCCAGACTATGTCGACGAACTAGCCGAAGAGCTTTGCCTCGTCGCATCCAAAACCTTCAACCTCACCCCCGCCATCATTAACTGCCATTCCCACGCCACCCTCGACGAGTTCGCAACCGGACTCCTGGTCCCCCAGCCAGCCCGCGGTGGTCCCCCATCACCAACCCACACCCGCTCTGCCTCCCCCTACCATCTCCGCCATGAACCCTCCTCCACCACCGGCGGTCCCTCCTCATCAGGGGGATCCTACTTCCCCAGCCCCGCCCCTCCCTCTCGACCAGGCGCATTCTCCCCCCGAATCGGCCCAGCAGCCATCATCCCCTCCTCCCCATCAACAACAACCCACCAACCAGTCCAACAACCCCAAATAGCCAACTTCATCCTCGCCAAAAACCTCCACCTGGCCCCCCGCGCCGTCCAGATCCAAGCCCTCGAACTGCTACGAACCCGAAGAATCTTTACACGAACCTCTGTCCAAACCGCCCCGAAGCAATTCTTGTTCATTGCCATAATCGGCGCCCCCTCCCCGACCCAAGCGAGGGTGACACCCCATCTAAACGACTTTTTCTACTTGAGTCATTGGCACGACGCGGAAAAAGACGGGCTTGACCACCTCGACGCGGAGCATTCTCGTCCTGACGACAACATTTCCGTCGCGTCGAGCGATAGCATCATCAAACGGTCGTCGTCCGGTCTCGGGCCTTTGCCTGACCACGAACCTGCTCCGCAACCGCACATGACGGAAGACGACATCTCGCTGCTGTCTCAGCTGACGACGCTGGCGTGTGTGGATGTGGATGTGCTGAGGTATCAGATGAATGTGGTGAGCCATTTGAGGATTCACAGGGCGGTGGTGGGGGGGGTGACGCCTCAGGCGACGAGGTGTTTGGGGTATTTGTGCAAGAGTTTGGCGGCGCTGCATGGGTTGGGGTTTGTGACGGCGAGTTTGGTCGGGTTGGCGGTTAGGAAGGTTTATGGGCATCGGATTGTGATGGTTTGGGAGGGGGGGATGATGGAAAGGGAGAGGAGTGTGCAGTGGGGGAGTGAGGGGGAGGCGGTGGGTGTGGTGATGGGGGGATGGGGGGTTGAGGAGGTGGTGGAGGATGTTTTGGGGATGGTTGGGGTTCCTGCTTAGAAGGGGGGGAGGGGGGGGAGTTTGTTGTGATATTCAAGGGGAGTGAATGAGTTTTCAAGGGAAGATGGGAAGACAAAGGCCTTTTTTTTGGAGTTTTTATGGTTGTTGTATGTACCCCAAGGCCAAAAAGGGGGGGTTATGATAACAATTAATTCAACATTCAAAACATTGAAACATCATAAGAGCCAGACAGGTATCGAAAGCGTGATGTGATGAGAACAGTCAACGTTCATACACTTTTTTGCATTTCCGGCCCCCTGATTCATGATGTTGTTCTATCCTACCAGGCGAAAAACAACCACCGCCCCCCTACCCGCTCAACCCTCCCTATTAACGCCGTCTCTTTTTTACCAGAGTACAACAGTATCTCCCATACCCTAGACCAACCAACCAACCAACCGAAAAAGAAAAAGAAATGATGATAACTAAAAGGTTGTATATGTATGTATGTACGCGAAGACATCAAAAAAGTTGCGTGGTTTTTTTTCTTTTTCCATGACCCCTTCCTTTTCCTTCCATTTTCTCCTCGGTATCATGCTGTGCTCCAAAAAGGTTCGTCTATTTATGAACCTCCTTAATCTTGCACTGCCACCCCGAACTCTTGCTCAACAACGGCAAGCTGTTCATCATCACACATCATTAGCATCAAATCATTTCTCATCATGACCGGGGGACCAAAGAAGACATACCTAGCACCCAAACACCACCCCAACTCATTCCCCTTGATCTGCTTCGCAATCCTCACCTCCCGATCAATAGGCATCTCATACCCCGTATGCGTCAGCGCCAACATAAAGTTCAAATCCAAACAATGCTCCGGCCTATCCTTCAGCTCCTCCATCGCGCCCGGCACACTCTCAAAAACATCCCACTCCCTCTCCCCGCCACAAACCCTGTTCGCCAGATCCGACATCTCCCTAAGAGTAAAACTCTCCGGCATCCCCAACGGCTGCGTCCGATCGTAAAAGTAAGACAAGAAGTAAATATCCTCCCTCGCAAACGTCTTGGCCATAGACGGCTGATGCACACCGTTGAACGAGCACGGCGCCAGGTTGCACGCAGACTCCTTCTTCAAAATCCTCTCCGCCAACGCCCGGCACTGCGCCGGCGCGGCCCAGTGAGGGCCAGTCATGTTCAGCTCCAGCTTGGAGCCGAGGGGGTGGTCACCCTGCAAGACGATCTTTGCCATCTTGGACATGCCCGCCGAGTAGCAAGGGTTGACAATCGGTTTCTCCATCCAGGACTTGTCACCCTTGTGCTCCTCGTACAGATCAGTCACGAGCTCGGCGAGGATGGCTTGACGAGCAGACATGAGGCCGTACCCGAGATGGGAGTGCTGGTACAAGTTGAACTTGCGGCCCCCAAAGTCAAGAGCGTACTTGTGGTCCCCCTCGGCGAGCTTGGCGGGCATGCCGCCGTCTGTAAGGCCCTCAAACGAGGGCTCAAAGACAATCTGAGTGGATCCACCCCCGAGGTCAAAAACAGCCGCGGTGGGGGAGTGGTCTGGTCCGCCGATCTTGCCGAGGAGGTAGTTGGTCGTGATCCAGGCATACACCCCCTCGTCGGAGCCGTCCATGATCGCGACGCCGTTTTCCTCGCGGGAGACGAGGGGGAAGGGGTACTTTGTTTCGATTCTGTGGCGGACCGCCTCGAGGATCTTGTCCGACTTTTCCTTTCCGATCAGACGAAGACCGGCGGTGGCCTTGACGGCGATGGGAGAGCAGGACTTGAGCTTGTCGGGAATTTTCTCGAGGGCGGCGTCGAGGAGGGTGTCGAGGCTTTCGGCCGCCTTGAGGGGGTCGTCCTTGTAAGCGGAGAGACCGGAGGATTGGCCTTCGATCTTGGCCGTCATTTTGAAGAGGACTTCATCCTCGAGCTCGGGGGCGGCGCCGCAGTTGTTGAACTTGTAGACGTGGATGCGGGAGCCTGTGCTGCCGGCGTCGATCATGGAGACGTATTGGACGATGGGCTTGTCTTTGGAGTAGGATCGGGAGCATCTGTCGGTTCCGTAGGAGGAGTCTGATGGGACTTGTCCCTGGCCGCCGATGTAGCTGTCGCCGGAGGAGGTGAAGAAGTAAAAGAGCAAGAGGACGGTGAAGACGATGGCACCGGTCTTGATGTAGCGTGCCCGCTGGGACTGCTGGGCCCAGGCGGACTGCATCTTCGCGACGAGGCCGGGTTCTCGGTGGTCGAATCCGTAGCGGTCGGGCTTCTCGTGGGGATCGCGAGCAACGTGCTTGGTGGGCAGCGATACCGACGTGCGTCTCATAGGGAGGGAGGGGTGAGAGGTGAGAGAGAGAGGTCTAGACTGTGTAGACCGTGTGGCACATCGGTGTTAAACGAAGGACATGGATTGAGAATTGTGTGCGACTGCAACTGCAACTGCAACTGTAACTTCAACGGCCGCTGGATGGCGATGGGCGATGGATAAAAAGAAAAAAAAGAAAAAAAAAAAGGGGCGGCGCTGCTTGAAATGTGTTTCCCTTTTTTGGGGGGCCTGGATTTGAACAAACCCCCTGGGCGGGATGACGCCGCAGCGTGCCAAGGACTCCCATGGGTCCCGCTGTTGCAGGCGTTGATAGGGCACGACAGGGGCCTTAGGTAATGGATAATGCAAGTACTGCAACATTGGAATGAGCTTGATTCGACTGTGTTTTCACCTTCTACGTGTCCCAGAATGTGTGTTTGGAGGGTTGGTATCGGGGAGAAACCAGGCCGGGCTCGCAGCGGCGCGAGGTACCGGTACCAGGCACCAAAAGTGATTCCTAAGCTTTCCAGAACCAGCACCTTCACTACCTACATCATCTCGTCTGCCTAGGGGAGGAGGCGAATATATTGCATTGTAAAAAGACATTTATTTAACAATCTAATCACTACCCCTCAACCCGCTCTTCTCCCTATAGAGTTCATACCCTAGAGCCTCTCGCAACGACATGGACGTGACCCTTTTTGTCTACGACCTCTCTCGGGGGCTGGCCAGACAGATGTCAGCTGGTCTGCTTGGTTTTCAGATAGATGCCATCTACCACACCTCGATCAAACTCAACGGGCTGGAATATGTCTACGACGGGAATGTGGTGGCAATCAGGCCTGGTTCTTCACATCTTGGCCAGCCGGAGCAACAGCTACATCTGGGGACAACTGACTGTAAGAAATATCCAACGTCCAAGAGTCCAGAACCCTACTAACAATTCGTAGTACCCATGGAGGTGATCGAGGAGTATCTGGACTCATTACGAGAAATCTATACCGTGCAGGTGCGAACATGACTTGCCCATGAAAGGAGGCAAACAACCCATCGCTAAGACATCCCAGGCCTATGACCTTTGGAAACATAACTGCAACAACTTCTCAAACGACTTTGCCATGTTCCTCCTCGGCAAGGGGATCCCTGAGCACATTGTGAATCTCCCACAGACCGTCCTGTAAGCAATCCCATCCCAGACGGCCCCCGGTCAAAGCGGGCCGTTCCGAGCTGCTATCTGCTCTGCTCCGATGTAGCTAACAAACACGCAGGGACTCTCCATTCGGCCAGATGTTGATGCCCATGCTCAACCAGCAAATCAACTCCAACAGGCGACAAGGAGGCATTCTTGGTATCCAGCAAAGCACCCCCGGCAGTTCAGTCAAGCCAAAATTTCAGCTTCATCAGCACACAGGCAAGGTTCACAATGTTGCCACCCTGACAGAGCTGGACCAGCTGCTGGCAAGGCACCAACACTCTTGCGCCGCTGTCTTCTTTACATCAGCAACCTGCCCGCCATGCAAGCTCGTCTACCCCCTGTACGACGAACTCGCCGCCGAAGTGGGGGACAAGGGCGTTCTCATCAAAGCAGACATCTCGCAAGCGTTTGATATCAGAAGCAGGTACTCCGTCAGGGCAACACCCACCTTCATCACCTTCCTCAAAGGCAAGCAAGAAAACCAATGGACCGGCGCCGATCCCGCGACCCTCCGAGGCAACGTTCAGCTCCTCGTCCAGATGGCCTGGCCACGGCACCGTCACGAGTCTCTTGACCTACCAACAATCTCCAACCGGAACGCCAAGCCGGTGCTGTACACCCGTCTCCCGCCTCTGGCCAAACTCCTCGCCAAACTGCCAGCAGAAACCTCGTCCAACCCATCAGTTCGGGATATGAAGCGCTTCCTCGAGACTCGTGCTGCGGAAGGCCCGGCGGAGGCCACCCTACCCAACATCCCGGGGTTTCTTTCCTTTGTCAATGACTCCCTCGCCAAGATCGAAGCTGATAAGCTCTTTCCCCTTATCGATCTCTTGCGGTGCGCACTTGTTGACCCGAGGGTGAGCTCGGTGCTGGCGGAGGAACAAGATTGCAAAACTGTGCTGTCTATCCTCCGGCTGGTCAACAATGCTGTTGAAAGCTGTAGCTGCCCTTACCCGTTGCGTCTGGTTACTGTTCAGATGAGCTGCAACTTATTTTCGTCACATCTCCACGAGGATGCTATCCTCTCTCATCAAGCACTTCGGCATGCGATAACGGAACTGACGACAGCTTGCTTCCGGGAGAGCGAGACGGCCACGTTGAGGGTTTCCTCGGCGGGATTGTTGTATAATCTCGCGCTGGCGAATAGTAAGAAACGGAGGGCTGGACCGGGGGATGCCCTCCCGGGAGAGGAGCAGGCTGCTTTGGCCGGGTCGGTGTTGGAGGCGATTGGGGGGGAGAGGGAGAGTGCGGAGGCGTTGGAGGGGATGTTGAATGCGTTGGGGCTGTTGGTTTATTTGTTGCCGCAGGAGGGGGAGGAGATGGGGGAGATGGAGCAGTTGTTGGTGATTATGGAGGCGGGGGATGTGGTGAAGGGGAAGGGGATGGTGGAAGGGTTTGGGGGGTTGAAGGGGTTGGTTGGTGAGGTTGGGGAGCTGCTTGGGAAGGGGTTGAGGAAGGCCTGAGGGTTAAGAGATGGGGTTTTGTGCTGTTGTATTATTATATTGGGAGCTTAGAGTTCTCGGGAGGAGATACAGACCTTTATCAGCCGGTTGGTAACTTGGACGTAGTAATTCATTTGATACATTTACATGAGCACATGTCAGTGATATTGAAGCTATCGACAAGACTTTACAACGGTGCCAGTACAACAACAACAACCCCGCTACCAACCGCCAAAAAACGCTCCCAACGTCTCTTCCACCGTTGCACCCAACCAAAACACGTCAAATCCCTTCCCCCCCCCCCTTGCAGGCGCCACACCAACCCGCCTTGGCACCAACTCTTCACCCCAGGCAACTGAGCAACAACCCCACCAAAAAGTAAACAGTCCAACCAACAGGTCCAACCCACTCAACTTGCAGGGCCCTGGCGTCTGGCAAGCGGATCCCCGTCACGTTTAACTGATTGAATCGACCCAATCTCTAAATGTACAACAGCCTAGACCGCCGTTCCCGCGACGCCATCGCCGATATCAAAGACACCCTAATCGGCATCGCAATCCACCCCGAACTGATGCCCGACTCTGCCGGTTATTACTGTCCGTCGTCGTCGTCGTCGTCATTGTCGCCCAGGATGAATCAACATCAACAGGGTGGTGGTGGTGGCTCCCGCTCCTTCGCGAGCACACCTTCACTTCGGAGTAGAGACCCAAACGTGCTGCCTCTGCTCGCAAAGAAGAACGCCGGGGCCAATGTCAAGGTCGTCGTGAGAGTTCGGGCGTTTCTGCCTCGAGGTTCGTTTTTTCCTCTCTCCATCTTGAATTCGATCAAAACTGACAGATGATAAACAGAAATCAAACGCAACGCCGAATGCCTCATCGAAATGGACCCCGAATCCCAAACCACCACCCTCCACCCCCCTTCCTCCTCCTCTTCCACCACCACCTCCACCTCCTCCTCCGAGCGCAAATCCCGCAAGATCCTCCTATCCAAATCTTTTACTTTTGACCAGAACTACTACTCCAAACACCTCTACTCCCTCCAGTGGACCACCCTTGAGCACATCAACAACTCCCGCGGCGAATAATTCTCTGAACGCTGATTTGAAGGCCACACAAGGTGCGTCAGGTCCTACAGCCAGATGGGATCGGG